CTGGTGGAACGGCAGATGAAGAAGTAGGTGCTGATGCTCCGCTCCGACCGAGGAGGGGAGTTACTCGGGAAGGAGTTCACCAACTTCGTCGACGGGAAGGGCATCGTCCACGACCTGACATGCCCTTACACTCCACAGCAGAACGGCATGGCTGAGCGGGAGATGCGCACGGCCATTGAGTCCGTGAGGACGATGCTGCTGCACATGGGCGTGCAGCACCACTGGTGGCACCTTGCCCTACGACAAGATGTCTGGGTGCGCAACTGCTTGGAGCGGTCGACGACGCCGCCGGGGACGACGCCGTACCAGCTGCTGACCGGGAAGAAGCCCGACCTCACGCAGGCGCGGGTGTGGGGCTGCATGGTGCAGTTCATGGTTCCTGAGCAGCAGTGCGGTGGGAAGCTGGTGCCGAAGGCTCGCTGGAGGCTTCACCTGGGCGTGTCGCCGGAGAGCAAGGGCTGGGAGGTGCTGGACTTGACCGACAACAAGGTGGTCACATCGGTCGAGGTGATGTTCTACGAGACGCTGTCGCTGGAGGTGTGGAAGGCGAAGTACGGGCCAACGTCGGAGTGGACGCAGGCACACCCGCCGACGGACACCTCGACGGCGACATTCCCACTGCTCGCTGAGGTCGACGAGCACGCTGATGAGGACGTCGAGGAAGTCCTCCCTCCACCCCCTGCTCTTGCTCCTCCCAACCCCGTCGCAGATCGGCATGCGTCGACACCTGTGTCGGCCACCGGCGATGAGGGGAGCCTTGGGGCGTCGCCTGTGGCGCCGACCAGTGGCATCGCCAGCGGCCGACGAGGCGTCAAGCTCGTCAACATGGAAGTGAAGCCGTCGACAACAGGGGAGCAACAGACAAGGGAGCCGGTCGAACAGGAGGCAGCAGCAGGGGTGCAGTCGACAGGGGAGCTGACGAAGTCAGCAGGAGGTGAGCAGCCGGTCGAAGGGTAAAAAAAGCTCGTCGACGACGAAGGGGTGCTGTCGGCAGGAGAAGAGTCCACCGACAGCGATGTGGTGGAGGTGCCAATCGAGACGCCTAAGCTGCAGAGCTCAGAGTCTGAGCTGCGACGCTCAGGTTGAACTCGGAGGCCACCAAAGTGGCTGAGCTACCATGCCTGCCTACCACCGGCTGCCTTCACTACGGTGTAGGACGACGCTGACGATGACCTGCTGTACGACGACGCCGAAGACGACGTCGACTTGCCGGAGCTCGACCCCAACGTGCATGCCGACCCCGAACACCGCAGGGACATCGCAACGATGACAGTGAAGGAGGCGCTGACGAGCTGGAAGGGCGAGGCGGTGAAGGTTGCCACGGACGAGGAGATCCGCAGCCTCATCGGCATGGGCACTTGGGAGCTGGTCGAACGCCCACGCGGGATGAACATCATGAAGAACCGGTGGGTGCTGACGACCAAGTACCGCATCGACGACACCGTCGAGCGCGAGAAGGCGAGGCTCATCGTGAAGGGCTTCACACAGGTGTATGGCGCTGACTACAATGAGACGTACTCACCAGTGAGCGGCTACGTCACGCTGAGGATCTTCCTCAGCATCGTTGCCGTCCTCGACCTCAACCTGATGCAGCTCGACATGAAGAACGCTTTCCTGTAGAATAAGCTCGACCGGGTGCTGTACATGTATCAGCCGGACTACTTCGACGATGGGACCGGCCGTGTGTGCAAGCTGCTGAAGAGCCTCTACTGGCTGAAGCAATCGCCGCTGCTGTGGTACAAGGCTCTTGACAGTGTGCTGTTGGGCGTTGGCTGGTCGAAGAGCCAGGTCGACACGGCGCTCTACTTAAAGGCCGGCGACGACGGAGTGACCTGCTGGGTGCTGGTCTACGTCGACGACCTGCTCACCGCCAGCAGAATCACCGCGATGCTGAAGGAGCTGCTGGAGATCGCCTTCGAGCTGCGCGAGATCTCGCCGGTCGTGAAGTACCTCGGGCTGGAGATCGTGCGCGACAGGCCAGCGAGGAAGCTGTGGCTGCATCAGCAGAACTACGACGACAAGCTGCGCAGGCGCTTCATCAACGAGGAGCAGACCAGGCGCATCCCGAAGACGCCGGTCTCGGTCGACGCCTACGCCAAGCTGACATTCGACGACGAGGAGGCACATGAGCGCGAGGAGGAGGAGTACCGCCAGAAGGCCGGCTCACTGCAGTTCGCGGCGACGACGACGAGGCCGGACATCGCCTTCGCCTGCAGCAAGCTGGGGAGCGGCCTCACGGTGGGGAGCGACCAGCACTGGCGCGAGGTCGACCGCTGCCTCACCTACCTCGCTGACACTCGCGACACCGCCCTGGAGTTCGGCGGTGGACCAGATTCGCTGGAGCTGATTGGCTACGTAGACGCCGACGACGCGTGCGATAAGCAGAACCGGTCGAGCACGGGCGGCTACGTGTTCGTCTACGGAGGGGACGCTGTCTCCTGGCTGAGCTCGCTCATCAAGTGCGCGACATTGTCGTCGACCGAGTCGGAGTACGTGGCGGCCACGGATGCAGGCAAGGAGGGACGTCGACTCCGTTTCCTTCTTGCGGAGTTCCAGCAGCTCGACGCTGGGTAGCCGACTGTCCTCCGGGTGGACAACAAGTCGGCCATCACTGTCGCGGAGGGCTTGGGGCTGACGGGCAACCTCAAGCACATGGAGCGACGCTACGCCTGGCTGCAGCATATTGTGAGGCGCGGGAAGTTCGTGCTGAAATACATCCCGACCACCGAGCAGCCGGGAGACTTCCTGACGAAGGCGCTGCATTTGCCGGCTTTCAACCGATGCTCTGTCGCCATCGGCCAAGTTTGTCTGGCCGACGTCGGCGACGGCGATGATGAGGTGCAGCAGTAGGTGTCGTGCCCTTCTGCACGGCTGGTGCGGTGACGGCGTGCTGTGTGTGGGGTGCACGCCGAGGACGAGTTTTCTCCGTGAAGTAGTGCCGTGTGGGCTGGGGGGCCCAAGCGTGACCGCAGCAAGGGAGTGTTAACGGGAATGGAGTGTTGGCCCCACCCTCGCTTGGGCGACGCTGACGTCCTGGTCGGATGTAGGGAGAAGCAGTTGACCTAACGCAGTGAGGGAGCTGCTTGACGGGCTACGTTGAGCTGCAGGAGCTCGCTGCAGTGGAGCCGTCGACCAGAGGGATTCGACGGCATTCTTGTACGGGGCAGGACGACGAAGTGGTCGTCGACCTGCACAAGTCTGTCACGAGGCTGGAGCCGTCGACCAAGGAGCTCGACAGCTGCAGCTGACTGGGCTGGTCGACGGGCGGGCCGTCGACCAGGAGGAGCAATTCGACGGGGAGGTCGTCGGAGCAGTCCGTCGACCTGACATGTGAGCGGCAGTCGACGAGGGGAGCTCGGCGACAGCAGCCGACAGTGCTGGTCGACGGAGGGGTCTGTCGACCAGGGTGTTGCTCGACGGGAGCTGTGGTCGACAAGGGAGTCGTTGACCGGAGCACTGGGTGGTCGACGAGCACGTACAATATTTCGGTCGACTATCCCCGAGGAAGTCGACGCCGACCTGGTGGTATCCGGGTCGACCAAGTCACCTGGGTGACGAGGTTCTGCGGAGGCACGCGAACGTCGTCGAGGTCGCGGTGACGAAGGCGAAGTCGGGCTGGTATCCCGAAGTCGATGTGGCTCGTCAGGCGCAGACAACAGCCGACGGATGCACAACGATGCAAGTCGGGCCAATCGTCTGCGCGCACCTGCGTGCGTGCGCACTGCTGTGTTCTACGGGTGCAACGATGGACAGCCGCTCTGCTGCAGCGTTGGCACGCCGTCGACCTGCTGTGTTGGCAGGTCACCCTTCTGCAGTGCTGGCGCGGCTCCTCTACGCAACGCTGGCAGGCGGTCGACCAAGCAGTGCTGGCGGTCGACCAGGCTAGCTGCAGAGTTGCTAGGTGCCTGATGTAGTCATTCTGTCATTGCTTATTGCAATCATTCTCTAATGCAACCTTTGCCTAGTGGAAACTCTTGCCAATTTCTCCCGTGAATGTGCAAGTGCTAAGGAAAGCTACGATCACTCCTAGAAGTTCATGCCAACACCCCGTAGTCTAGGTCACGACTGTTGTAGAGTGACTCTCCGCATGGGTGTGCAAGACAATTCAGTATGGCAGATTTGGTGTCGCACGCCTAACCCTCTGCAGGGTCAACTGTTTTGCACAATTTCGAGTGAGACATCCGAGACAACACACACACCCACCAGCAGGTGACCTAATCAGTACTTACACACGCTAGACCGTGTGCTGGTGGTAAGGCGACAACGAACAGGCTAGAGTAATTATCGAGGTAAGTAGTGACGCTGGAGACAACCATACTCTATTCACTGATAGTAATGCGCAAACGGCAGCAAACCTGGCTGTGAGCCCCACGTTTCCATGCCGCTCAAATCAGCGTGCGATTACACCGAGAGCGACATGGTGTGAGGCGCCCCGCCGAAAACACAAATGACATGCGCCACGGCTTACAGGAACGCGCGCAACGCGATTAGGAATGTGATGTGATTTTTGCGGGAACTCAATCACGGCTCTATCACAATCCGCATTCTAAACATGGGAGGAGATAGTGACGCAAATTTGCATGGACAGTGGCGTGCATGGCAGGCTGCGCAATAAAAAATGCGCATTCCTCATGTGCATTACGGGGCGCAATTGCTCCCCGAGACGCACACCCCTCGCACTCTGTAGACTAAGCGGTATGCTTACTCTACTCCCCCCGTCTCATCATGTCCTCGATCACCCCGCTCCCCCCATCTCCTTTCACCGCAGTACTCGCATACGGGTAGGCATCAATTTCGTTGTGACCGACGGTCGAACCGCAAACGAGTAGATTGCCATCTGCACATTATCGCATGTGCCTGTGATCGAAATGCCCCGGTACGGGCACTTCAATGTCCGATTACGAGTTATAAGTGAGGCTGTTCTCAACCCCAAGGGAGACGTGCTAGTCAGACTGTGCCACGGAGACGGACAGGGAGGTAACCCCTGCTGCAACCACTCCTCACCTCTCACGCCCCACTGCTCCCCCGTTGTGCTCCTCCCTTGCCCTCATGCCCCGCTGCTCCTTTGCTGTAATGCTCCCCTGTGCCCACGCTTCCACTCCCCTTCCCCCACGCTTCCAATCCCCTTCCCCTACGCTTCCATTCCCCTTCCCCCACGCTTCCACTCCCTTTCTCGCACGCTTCCACTCCCCTTCCCCCACGCTTTCACTCCCCTTCCCCCACAGTTTCACTCCCCCTTCCTCCACCTTCCACTCCCCTTCCCCCACGCTTCCACTCCCCTTCCCACACGCTTCCACTCCCCTTCCCCCACGCTTTCACTCCCCTTCCCCCACTGTTCCACTCCCCTTTCCTCCATGCTTCCACTCCCCTTCCCCCACGCTTCCAATGCAACATCCCCCACTGTTACACTCCCCTTCCCCGACGGGGAATCCCCCCTTCCCCCACTGTTTCACTCCCCTTCCCCCACTATGTCACCCCCCTTCTAACTCTGTCTCCCATGCTCCCATGCTCCCCTGCACCCATGCTCCCATGCTCCCATGCTCCCCTGAACCCATGCTCCCATGCTCCCCTGCACCCATGCTCCCATGCTCCCCTGCACCCATGCTCCCATGCTCCCCTGCACTCATGCTCCCATGTTCCCCTGCACCCATGCTCCCATGCTCCCCTGCACCAATGCTCCCATGCTCCCCTGCACCCATGCTCCCATGCTCCCCTGCACCCATGCTCCCATGCTCCCCTGCACCCATGCTCCCATGCTCTCCTGCATCCATGCTCCCATGCTCCCCTGCACCCATGCTCTCATGCTCCCATGCACCCATGCTCCCATGCTCCCCTGCACCCATGCTCCCATGCTCCCCTGCACCCACGCTCCCATGCTCCCCTGCACCCATGCTCCCATGCTCCCATGCTCCCCTGCACCCATGCTCCCATGCTCCCCTGCACCCATGCTCCCATGCTCCCCCATGCTCCCCTGCACCCATGCTCCCATGCTCCCCTGCACCCATGCTCCCATGCTCCCATGCTCCCCTGCACCCATGCTCCCATGCTCCCCTGCACCCATGCTCCCATGCTCTCCTGCATCCATGCTCCCATGCTCCCCTGCACCCATGCTCTCATGCTCCCATGCACCCATGCACCCATGCTCCCCTGCACCCATGCTCCCATGCTCCCCTGCACCCATGCTCCCATGCTCCCCTGCACCCATGCTCCCATGCTCCCATGCTCCCCTGCACCCATGCTCCCATGCTCCCCTGCACCCATGCTCCCATGCGCCCTTGCACCCATGCTCCCATGCTACCCTGCACCCATGCTCCCATGCTCCCCTGCACCCATGCTCCCATGCTCCCCTGCACCCATGCTCCCATGCTCCCCTGCACACATGCTCCCATGCTCCCCTGCACCCATGCTCCCATGCTCCCCTGCACCCATACTCCCATGCTCTCCTGCACCCATGCTCCCATGCTCCCGTGCACCCATGCTCTCATGGTCCCATGCACCCATGCTCCCATGCTCCCCTGCACCCATGCTCCCATGCTCCCCTACGCCCATGCTCCCATGCTCCCCTGCACCCATGCTCCCATGCTCCCCTGCACCCATGCTCCCATGCTCCCCTGCACCCATGCTCCCATGCTCCCCTGCACCCATACTCCCATGCTCCCCTGCACCCATGCTCCCATGCTCCCCTGCATCCATGCTCCCCTGCATCCATGCTCCCCTGCACCATGCTCCCATGCTCCCCTGCACCCATGCTCCCATGCTCTCCTGCATCCATGCTCCCATGCTCCCCTGCACCCATGCTCTCATGCTCCCATGCACCCATGCTCCCATGCTACCCTGCACCCATGCTCCCATGCTCCCCTGCACCCACGCTCCCATGCTCCCCTGCACCCATGCTCCCATGCTCCCATGCTCCCCTGCACCCATGCTCCCATGCTCCCCTGCACCCATGCTCCCTGCACCCATGCTCCCCTGCACCCATGCTCCCATGCTCCCCTGCACCCATGCTCCCATGCTCCCATGCTCCCCTGCACCCATGCTCCCATGCTCCCCTGCACCCATGCTCCCATGCGCCCTTGCACCCATGCTCCCATGCTACCCTGCACCCATGCTCCCATGCTCCCCTGCACCCATGCTCCCATGCTCCCCTGCACCCATGCTCCCATGCTCCCCTGCACACATGCTCCCATGCTCCCCTGCACCCATGCTCCCATGCTCCCCTGCACCCATACTCCCATGCTCTCCTGCACCCATGCTCCCATGCTCCCGTGCACCCATGCTCTCATGGTCCCATGCACCCATGCTCCCATGCTCCCCTGCACCCATGCTCCCATGCTCCCCTACGCCCATGCTCCCATGCTCCCCTGCACCCATGCTCCCATGCTCCCCTGCACCCATGCTCCCATGCTCCCCTGCACCCATGCTCCCATGCTCCCCTGCACCCATACTCCCATGCTCCCCTGCACCCATGCTCCCATGCTCCCCTGCATCCATGCTCCCCTGCATCCATGCTCCCCTGCACCATGCTCCCATGCTCCCCTGCATCCATGCTCCCCTGCATCCATGCTCCCCTGCACCATGCTCCCATGCTCCCCTGCACCCATGCTCCCATGCTCCCCTGCACCCATGCTCCCATGCGCCCTTGCACCCATGCTCCCATGCTACCCTGCACCCATGCTCCCATGCTCCCCTGCACCCATGCTCCCATGCTCCCCTGCACCCATGCTCCCATGCTCCCCTGCACACATGCTCCCATGCTCCCCTGCACCCATGCTCCCATGCTCCCCTGCACCCATACTCCCATGCTCTCCTGCACCCATGCTCCCATGCTCCCGTGCACCCATGCTCTCATGGTCCCATGCACCCATGCTCCCATGCTCCCCTGCACCCATGCTCCCATGCTCCCCTGCACCCATACTCCCATGCTCTCCTGCACCCATGCTCCCATGCTCCCGTGCACCCATGCTCTCATGGTCCCATGCACCCATGCTCCCATGCTCCCCTGCACCCATGCTCCCATGCTCCCCTACGCCCATGCTCCCATGCTCCCCTGCACCCATGCTCCCATGCTCCCCTGCACCCATGCTCCCATGCTCCCCTGCACCCATACTCCCATGCTCCCCTGCACCCATGCTCCCATGCTCCCCTGCATCCATGCTCCCCTGCATCCATGCTCCCCTGCACCATGCTCCCATGCTCCCCTGCACCCATGCTCCCATGCTCTCCTGCATCCATGCTCCCATGCTCCCCTGCACCCATGCTCTCATGCTCCCATGCACCCATGCTCCCATGCTCCCCTGCACCCATGCTCCCATGCTCCCCTGCACCCATACTCCCATGCTCTCCTGCACCCATGCTCCCATGCTCCCGTGCACCCATGCTCTCATGGTCCCATGCACCCATGCTCCCATGCTCCCCTGCACCCATGCTCCCATGCTCCCCTACGCCCATGCTCCCATGCTCCCCTGCACCCATGCTCCCATGCTCCCCTGCACCCATGCTCCCATGCTCCCCTGCACCCATGCTCCCATGCTCCCCTGCACCCATACTCCCATGCTCCCCTGCACCCATGCTCCCATGCTCCCCTGCATCCATGCTCCCCTGCACCATGCTCCCATGCTCCCCTGCACCCATGCTCCCATGCTCTCCTGCACCCATGCTCCCATGCTCCCGTGCACCCATGCTCTCATGGTCCCATGCACCCATGCTCCCATGCTCCCCTGCACCCATGCTCCCATGCTCCCCTACGCCCATGCTCCCATGCTCCCCTGCACCCATGCTCCCATGCTCCCCTGCACCCATGCTCCCATGCTCCCCTGCACCCATGCTCCCATGCTCCCCTGCACCCATACTCCCATGCTCCCCTGCACCCATGCTCCCATGCTCCCCTGCATCCATGCTCCCCTGCACCATGCACCCATGCTCCCCTGCATCCATGCTCCCCTGCACCATGCACCCATGCTCCCCTGCATCCATGCTCCCCTGCACCATGCTCCCATGCTCCCCTGCATCCATGCTCCCCTGCACCATGCACCCATGCTCCCCTGCATCCATGCTCCCCTGCACCATGCACCCATGCTCCCCTGCATCCATGCTCCCCTGCACCATGCACCCATGCTCCCCTGCATCCATGCTCCCCTGCACCATGCACCCATGCTCCCCTGCATCCATGCTCCCCTGCACCATGCACCCATGCTCCCCTGCATCCATGCTCCCCTGCACCATGCACCCATGCTCCCCTGCATCCATGCTCCCCTGCACCATGCACCCATGCTCCCCTGCATCCATGCTCCCATGCTCCCCTGCACCCATGCTCCCATGCTCCCCTGCACCCATGCTCCCATGCTCTCCTGCACCCATGCTCCCATGCTCCCGTGCACCCATGCTCTCATGGTCCCATGCACCCATGCTCCCATGCTCCCCTGCACCCATGCTCCCATGCTCCCCTACGCCCATGCTCCCATGCTCCCCTGCACCCATGCTCCCATGCTCCCCTGCACCCATGCTCCCATGCTCCCCTGCACCCATGCTCCCTTGCTCCCCTGCACCCATACTCCCATGCTCCCCTGCACCCATGCTCCCATGCTCCCCTGCATCCATGCTCCCCTGCACCATGCACCCATGCTCCCCTGCATCCATGCTCCCCTGCACCATGCACCCATGCTCCCCTGCATCCATGCTCCCCTGCACCATGCTCCCATGCTCCCCTGCATCCATGCTCCCCTGCACCATGCACCCATGCTCCCCTGCATCCATGCTCCCCTGCACCATGCACCCATGCTCCCCTGCATCCATGCTCCCCTGCACCATGCACCCATGCTCCCCTGCATCCATGCTCCCCTGCACCATGCACCCATGCTCCCCTGCATCCATGCTCCCCTGCACCATGCACCCATGCTCCCCTGCATCCATGCTCCCCTGCACCATGCACCCATGCTCCCCTGCATCCATGCTCCCCTGCACCATGCTCCCATGCTCCCCTGCACCCATGCTCCCATGCTCCCCTACGCCCATGCTCCCATGCTCCCCTGCACCCATGCTCCCATGCTCCCCTGCACCCATGCTCCCATGCTCCCCTGCACCCATGCTCCCATGCTCCCCTGCACCCATACTCCCATGCTCCCCTGCACCCATGCTCCCATGCTCCCCTGCATCCATGCTCCCCTGCACCATGCACCCATGCTCCCCTGCATCCATGCTCCCCTGCACCATGCACCCATGCTCCCCTGCATCCATGCTCCCCTGCACCATGCTCCCATGCTCCCCTGCATCCATGCTCCCCTGCACCATGCACCCATGCTCCCCTGCATCCATGCTCCCCTGCACCATGCACCCATGCTCCCCTGCATCCATGCTCCCCTGCACCATGCACCCATGCTCCCCTGCATCCATGCTCCCCTGCACCATGCACCCATGCTCCCCTGCATCCATGCTCCCCTGCACCATGCACCCATGCTCCCCTGCATCCATGCTCCCCTGCACCATGCACCCATGCTCCCCTGCATCCATGCTCCCCTGCACCATGCACCCATGCTCCCCTGCATCCATGCTCCCCTGCACCATGCACCCATGCTCCCCTGCATCCATGCTCCCCTGCACCATGCACCCATGCTCCCCTGCATCCATGCTCCCCTGCACCATGCACCCATGCTCCCCTGCATCCATGCTCCCCTGCACCATGCACCCATGCTCCCCTGCATCCATGCTCCCCTGCACCATGCACCCATGCTCCCCTGCATCCATGCTCCCCTGCACCATGCACCCATGCTCCCCTGCATCCATGCTCCCCTGCACCATGCACCCATGCTCCCCTGCATCCATGCTCCCCTGCACCATGCACCCATGCTCCCCTGCATCCATGCTCCCCTGCACCATGCACCCATGCTCCCCTGCATCCATGCTCCCCTGCACCATGCACCCATGCTCCCCTGCATCCATGCTCCCCTGCACCATGCACCCATGCTCCCCTGCATCCATGCTCCCCTGCACCATGCACCCATGCTCCCCTGCATCCATGCTCCCCTGCACCATGCACCCATGCTCCCCTGCATCCATGCTCCCCTGCACCATGCACCCATGCTCCCCTGCATCCATGCTCCCCTGCACCATGCACCCATGCTCCCCTGCATCCATGCTCCCCTGCACCATGCACCCATGCTCCCCTGCATCCATGCTCCCCTGCACCATGCACCCATGCTCCCCTGCATCCATGCTCCCCTGCACCATGCACCCATGCTCCCCTGCATCCATGCTCCCCTACACCATGCACCCATGCTCCCCTGCATCCATGCTCCCCTGCACCATGCACCCATGCTCCCCTGCATCCATGCTCCCCTGCACCATGCACCCATGCTCCCCTGCATCCATGCTCCCCTGCACCATGCACCCATGCTCCCCTGCATCCATGCTCCCCTGCACCATGCACCCATGCTCCCCTGCATCCATGCTCCCCTGCACCATGCACCCATGCTCCCCTGCATCCATGCTCCCCTGCACCATGCACCCATGCTCCCCTGCATCCATGCTCCCCTGCACCATGCACCCATGCTCCCCTGCATCCATGCTCCCCTGCACCATGCACCCATGCTCCCCTGCATCCATGCTCCCCTGCACCATGCACCCATGCTCCCCTGCATCCATGCTCCCCTGCACCATGCACCCATGCTCCCCTGCATCCATGCTCCCCTGCACCATGCACCCATGCTCCCCTGCATCCATGCTCCCCTGCACCATGCACCCATGCTCCCCTGCATCCATGCTCCCCTGCACCATGCACCCATGCTCCCCTGCATCCATGCTCCCCTACACCATGCACCCATGCTCCCCTGCATCCATGCTCCCCTGCACCATGCACCCATGCTCCCCTGCATCCATGCTCCCCTGCACCATGCACCCATGCTCCCCTGCATCCATGCTCCCCTGCACCATGCACCCATGCTCCCCTGCATCCATGCTCCCCTGCACCATGCACCCATGCTCCCCTGCATCCATGCTCCCCTGCACCATGCACCCATGCTCCCCTGCATCCATGCTCCCCTGCACCATGCACCCATGCTCCCCTGCATCCATGCTCCCCTGCACCATGCACCCATGCTCCCCTGCATCCATGCTCCCCTGCACCATGCACCCATGCTCCCCTGCATCCATGCTCCCCTGCACCATGCACCCATGCTCCCCTGCACCATGCACCCATGCTCCCCTGCACCCATGCTCAAATTCCCACCAACCCCAGCAACCCTGCCCAACCTCACTACCTCTTCAGTGTCCTCACTCGACCGTTGCAGCGGTCCATTCTCTCCTTCCTAAGGATCCGTATCCATGCAGGAGCTTGCTCTCTATGCCCTCTTCCCTCCATTTCTTCTGGCCTCCTTCCACTTTCCCTCTCCACCCGTGCACCAATACTCTGCAGCATCACGGATCAGCATGTAATGTTCCAACCCTTTTCCTCCCTGTCCTGTCCCCAACTCACCCCATTTGCATTCCCACCGATTGCGGGCATCCAGGATGAACAGGGATTGGAGCACTCGACACAGGGGATTGACTCTGGGCACATGGCTAACCGAAGAATTGGAGAGTGATTCGGACTGCAAAGACCACAGAAAGTCAATGAAAAACCGCAGATTGTCAGAAAGTAGGAATGAAGGATGACTAGAATGACAGCAGTACATGGTTTGTATAGCAAAACCTAATTGGGCTGTACCCCATAAGGAGTGCCCCACTACAGCCTAGAGCATATAAATGCATAGTTTTGACACACCCCCATAGGCAAAGTGGGGGACAAGCAAGAGAACGAAGCAAGGTCAAGCTCAGGGTGGATCACAACGTCACCACGCAGTCCGAGCACAAGCAAATGGCCACAAGGCCTGTCCACATGCAGAGTTATATAAAGGAGAACAAGCAGTACACTGATCACAACCTAGCAAGTGTAAGCATGCAGATATATGTATATAGATCACAGTCCAAGCAAAGCCAAGAAGTGAGCAAGTGAGGCCAACTAGGCACAAGGCCTAGAACAGTACAGAAACGCTGATGATCTCAAGGCTGAAGTGCCTTGGTGAAGATATCAGCAGTGTTGGCCTGAGAGGCCACGTAAACAAGACGAAGCTGACCACGCTGCTGCAACTCTCGAGCAAGGAAGTAGCGCAGAGCGATGTGCTTCGTTCTGTGCTCCAGTCTGTGCTCCTGACACAAGGCAATCATGGCCTTGTTGTCGACGTACAGAACTGGAGGAGAACGAGGCGGCTCGCCCAAGTCGGTCAGCAGGTAGGTGAGCCAGCGTAACTCCTGTGCAGCCATGGCCCCCGCGTAGATCTCAGCCTCACAACAGGAGCTGAGAACAGAAGACGAGCGGGTAGACCGCCACGAAACAGAGCCGGAGCCAAGGCTGAAGGTGTAACCCTGTGACGACCGCTGCGTAGCCAAGTCGTCAACCCAAGAAGCGTCTGCGTGACCAGTGAGGACAACTCTAGCCCGTCCTCCAAGCACGAGCCACATGCCCGACGTACTGCACAAGTAGCGCATCACTCTCTTAGCGGCCTTCCAGTGCTCTAGTCGGTGTCTCCCGGGCGCAACGTAGCGAGCCAGGATGCTAAGAGGGTAAGCAAGGTCAGGTCGAGTGCAGGTCATCAGGTACATGAGGCAGCCCACAAGCTCTGGATACGGGCCACTCAGCTCTACGGACTCATCCGAAGGCAGAGCTGAGAGCGAGTGACCGGTAGGCAGAGGAGTGGCCTGTGGCGAGGAGTACTCGAAGCCGAAGCGCTGAAGGACCTGCTGCACCATGTGTGACTGAGTCAAGGTAATGGTGCGCCATGCTCTGTCCCGGGTGATCTGCAAGCTAAGATAGCTGCGCAGCTCACCCAGGTCTGTGCACGTGTGTCTCTTCTGCAGCTCCGACTTCACGTGGGCCAGTCCAGCAGTGCCAGCAGTGGCAAAGACCAAGTCGTCGACGTACACGAGCATGTATAACGGCGGCAACGAAGTGTCAGTGCGTAGAAACAGCGACGGGTCAGCAGTCGAAGGAGCAAACCCAAGAGCCGCAAGCGTCGTCCTCAGTGTGTCGTGCCACTCGCGAGGCGCCTGGCGGAGACCGTAGACTGGCCGCCGGAGGCTCCACTGGGTACCTGCAGGAAACGACCCAGTGAAGCCAAGTGGGCGGTGCAGCCAGATCTCCTCGTGCAGGCTGCCCTGTAGGAAAGCAGTGCTGAAGTCAAGAGAGTGAAGCTCCTAGTCACGCTGAGCGGCGACGTGCAGCAGAACCCGAAGAGTGGTCATCTTCGGGGTAGGGGAGAAGGTATGGAAGAAGTCAACTCCCTGTCGCTGACTGAAGCCTCGTGCAACGTAACGCGCCTTGAAGACAGGCGGAGAACCTGGCGGCAGCTTCACCCTGAAAATCCACATGCCACTGACAATGTTCGCCCCAGGAGGGGGAACCTCGTCAACGTAAGTGCCTGTGGACTTCCAGGATGCCATCTCTGCGTCCATGGCTGTCTGCTACTAAGAGGAGTAGGGACCCTCTATCGCCTCTGCGTAAGAGCGCGGGGTCGGGATGTCTGGTGCATCCGGGTCTCCCTCAGGTGCAATCAGCATGGACACGAGATGAGGTACAGCAGCTGCAAAACACTCAAAGTCCTCCTGCCTGTCCTCAAGGACGCCTGTGCCAAGAGCACACTCACCCCCGACGGACGGAGGACAGACAGAATCAGACTCAGCAACAAGACTAGCGGCGTAGTCTAGACGACAGGCTGCAGCAAAGTCAACAAGCTCAGCAACTAGGGCAGACGCAGCAGTGGACTCAAACGAAGGGTCAGTGACAGCAGTAGCCAGAAGACGTGTGACAGTAGGACTGGCAGCACGAGCAAGGTCTGACGGCGGGTCAGGGACGTCAGGAGGAGAGGACGCAGGAGGAGACGGCAGAGGGACACGCTGTGGAGTAGTGGAAGGACGAAGTGCCATCTGGTGCGTGCCTGGGACAGGGGGAGGACGCTGACGCGGAACACGACGACCAGTGCGAACAGTGCGAACAGGCGACGCAGGACGAGACTCAAGCTCACGACGCTCCGTAAGACCTCTAGTCGGCCCAGAGTAAGGAGAAGGACCAGGCAGTGGAGAGGCTGGCTGTAACTGCGACTGCGACTGGTCAGGCGGTGGACACAGTAAGGGAGGAGTAGGACCAGTAGAAGGTGGGAGGCCAAGAATCTGTTGAAGGAGTGGAATGAGGTACGGCCGTGGCCGCGCAGCGCTTCCAGAACCAGCAGAGACAGCACCAGTACCCCCAGCTCCAGGGTCTCCAGCTCCAACTCCCGCAGCAGCACTAGCACCAGCACCACCTCCAGCAGCAACAGCTCCAGCGCCTCCAGCTCCAACTCCTGCAGCACCACCAGCTCCAGTAGCTCCTGTACCCCCAGTACGAGCACCTCTGGCAGCTCCAGCTCCAGCAGTACCTCCAGCTCCAGCAGCTCCAGTACCTCCAGTATGAGCACCTCCGGGACCAGCGGCTCCACCACCTCCAGCAGCTCCAGCACCAGCAGTACCTCCAGCTCCAGCAGCACCTCCAGCGGTAGGCCCCCCAGCTCCAGCAGCACGGCTCCAGCGTCAAGCAAACCTCTCGCGCAGCTGAGGTGGAGAGAGTGGCTCCCGCCGTGAAAAGACACCCGGAGGACCTTCCAGAGGACAAAGTACCTCCAGGCTCAGCACGCTCAGGCTCAGCACCCCCAGGCTCAGCACCCTTAGACTCAGCACCCCCAGACTCAGCACCTCCAGGCTCAGCACCCCCAGGCTCCGCACGCTCAGGCTCAGCACCCCCAGGCCCCGCACCCTCAGACTCAGCACCCCCAGGCTCCGCACGCTCAGACTCAGTACCCCCAGCAGCACCACCCCCAGCAGCACCAGAGTCACCAGTGACCTCGACAGGCGTACCAAGGGGGATGGGGTCTACCTGGGACACACCTGAAGGGGCAGGACCTTGAGGGGGGAGGGGGTCTACCGGAGGGGGGCTTGAGTGAGGAAGAGCGGCGAAGGGGGGGAGGGAAGCAGTGCGGTAGGGGAAGAGACGGTAGTAAGGAACCGACTCGTCAAACGTGACGTCCTGAGAGGACAGAACACGACGCGAGGTGGGGTGGTAAAACTGCCAACCAGGCACGTCAGGGGGGAAGCCAAGGAAGACGCAGGGAACAACACGGGAGGACAGCTTGTCCGCGGAAGAATCGCGGACAAAAGCTCGAGATCCCCAGACACGGAACACAGACGCATCGCCGACCTCCCCCGTCCACCGCAGAGCAGGTCTGGTCTCCGGCATGGAGACACGGGGCTGGAGGTTGAGCTAATGCGCAGCGTACTGGACCGCGAACGGCCACAGAAAATGGGGAGCAGCCGCATGGATCATGGACGTACGAGCGACGTCCATGACCATGCCAATGCGGCGCTCAGCAATCCCATTTTGCTGTGGGGAGGCCGGAAGCGTGAACGTCTGGCGGATGCCCTCCGCACGACAGAAGGCCCGCAGAAGGTCGGAGGAAAACTCACCACCTCTGTCGGAGTGCAGACGCAGAACAGGAAGGTCCGAGCCGAAACTCTCGCTGAGCTGGCGACGGGCAGCGCGGATCCAGGTGATCAACACCTCAGTGACCTCACCCTTGCGGCGCAAGGGGAAGACTGTGGTGTAACACGAGTAGTCGTCAACGACCAGCAGAAAGTAACGCTCGTGACCCTATCCACGGACGTGGGCTGGGCCCCACACGTCCATGTGGAGAGTCTGCAGGGGAGCCTCCGTCGGAGGGAACTCGGAGGAGTGAGGAGCGGCGCGCTGCCGTCCCTCGACGCAAGGAACACAGGTAGGGGCAGGCCCCGGTGGGAGGGGAGGGAGAGACCGGGGGAGACCAGAGACAAGGGTACAGGAGGCCATACCTCTGAGACGAGGTAGGGAGGGGTGACCAAGGCGGTGGTGCCAAAGGAGAGTCTGGTGTGACAGGAGACGATACGAGTAGGGGGCAGACTCCGGACCAGACGTGGACGCGGCAGCAATCACCTGACCAGACGCGGCTACCTGACCAGACTCAGCAACCGGAGGAGACTCAGTATTCAGTGTGTACAGGCTCGACCCAGGCCGACGGGTGAACGTGGCCAGGTGGCGGCCTGTCCGAGTACACGTACAGTGGGTCACACGCTGACCTCCAGGAGTGAACTGGTCAACCCACACGTCCTGGAGGTCAGCTCCACTCACCAAGTTCATAGAGAACGAGGGGAGGTGAAGACTCGACAGTGAGCCAGACGGGGCCGCCGGACACGGCAGAACCGTGGAGGAGTGCGCAAGGACCGGGCCCCCAGAGGGGTCCGCCAGGGAGACCGCAACCGGCC